ACGGCCTCTCCCCGTGCGACCTGCAACGCTGCCACCACCACCCCCCCTACCCACTACCCGCACCCCCCTCTCGTGCCCACCGCGGTGCCAGGCGTCACCCACCGCGGTGCCAAGCGTCACCCACCGCGGTGCCAGCCGTCACCCACCGCGGTGCCAGCCGTCACCCACCGCGGTGCCAGCCGTCACCCACCGCGGTGCCAGCCGTCACCCACCGCGGTGCCAGCCGTCACCCACCGCGGTGCCAGTCGTGACCCACCGCGGTGCCAAGCGTCACACACCGCGGTGCCAGCCGTCACCCACCGCGGTGCCAGCCGTCACCCACCGCGGTGCCAGCCGTCACCCACCGCGGTGCCAGCCGTCACCCACCGCGGTGCCAGTCGTGACCCACCGCGGTGCCAGCCGTGACCCACCGCGGTGCCAGCCGTGACCCACCGCGGTGCCAGCCGTGACCCACCGCGGTGCCAGCCGTCACCCACCGCGGTGCCAGGCGTCACCCACCGCGGTGCCAGCCGTGACCCACCGCGGTGCCAGTCGTGACCCACCGCGGTGCCAGACGTCACCCACCGCGGTGCCAGACGTCACCCACCGCGGTGCCAGCCGTGACCCACCGCGGCGCCAGTCGTGACCCACCGCGGTGCCAGGCGTCACCCACCGCGGTGCCAGCCGTGACCCACCGCGGTGCCAGGCGTCACCCACCGCGGTGCCAGACGTCACCCACCCGTGGAGCCCCCGACCTGGATTGCACCTGGAGTGGGTTCTGGGAGTTCAGCTACTCCCCAAGCCAGCCTGTGGCTTGGGGGCCCCCAGGCTGGCTTGGGGGGGGCCCCAGGCTGTCTTGAGGGCCCCAGGCTGGCTTGGGGGCCCCAGCCTGTCTTGGGGGCCCCAGGCAGGCTTGGGGGGGCCCAGGCTGACTTGGGGGGCCCAGGCTCGGCTCGTGTGAAAGACCAACAGACTGTTGCTTGGAGCGGCCCATGTTTGTCCTCCTTTTCCTGAGCAAATTTCGACCCTGGAAGCCCAGTTTACCTAAAGCAAGGCCGGGGACACGGAGCTAGATCTCAACTTTCCCCATAGTCACCGTTTGGTAAGCACCCGGTGACTGACTGATCAACTAGGCTATTGGTGTTGGTGGCACACACTTGTTGCAGGACGTAGCGGAAACGGCGCAGCTACGGGAGATGAAGGATACGACGAAGTGTGTGTCGTGTCGTAGCTGACACTTGCTACGCGTTTCAGACACCGCATCTGACACCAGGCATCTCTTGTGTCAGACAGTGGGTGGCACACCAGGCAGTATAGGCGGCACATGTGGTACTCCAACACCATACAATGGGCGACACGACACATCTGCAACGGGCTACAGTGAGCGACACATGCGACACACACCTGTGCCAGAAGTGGCACTCAACTATTCCGTGTGTGTGTCCAGACGCAGGCACCATTGAGTGCCACAGGAGCAGCTCCTCTTCCCCAGAGGGCCGCTCTCTCAAGGCCAAGGTCAAGCGTGTAAATATTGCTCCAAGGGCCCGCTCTCTCTCTCTCTCTCTCTCTCTCTCTCTCTCTCTCTCTCTCTCTCTCTCTCTCTCTCTCTCTCTCTCTCTCTCTCTTTCCCCCCTCCCTGCCCAATCACTTGGGGTGGACGGTAGATTGACGTTCTCGCTTCATGCAGGTCGGCGTTCAATCCCCTCGACCAATTGGTTGGGCACCATTCCTTTCCCCCTCGTCCCATCCCAAACCCTTTCCGAGTGCTATATAGTCTTAATGGCTTCGTGCTTTTCCCTGATAATTTCCTCCCCCCCCCTCGCCCCCTTCCTCTCTCTCTCTCTCTCTCTCTCTCTCTCTCTCTCTCTCTCTCTCTCTCTCTCTCTCTCTCTCTCTCTCTCTCTCTCTCTCTCTCTCTCTCTCTCTTCACATCTGGTGAACACCGGATGTGCTCTTGAACACAAATAACATTCGGTGAACACTCTGTGAACACAAAAGGTGAACAATACCGGATCGAACACACAAATAGGTGTGTGTACACACACACAGACAGGCAGACTTGGCCTCGCCTTGTCGACAAGGAGGTGTGCGAGCGCGCGCTCGTGTCCGCTTCTCAGCGAGCCAAAATTTTACGCTTTGAGGTCAAGCAATGACTGACCATCAAGGGGCGCCCCCCCCTTCCTCCGCCTCCCCCCACACAGGTAGAGAACACGTTAACCTGGTCGACAAGTACGCCTGAGAATAGGTAGAGGCAAAGTAGATTAACAGGTTTCAGCGGGCCAGGAGAGAGAGAGAGAGAGAAATACTGGGGTAAACAGTGAGAAACACTGGGGTAGGACAGTGGGAAATACTGGGGTAAACAGTGAGAAACACTGGGGTAGGACAGTGGGAAATACTGGGGTAAACAGTGAGAAACACTGGGGTAGGACAGTGGGAAATACTGGGGTAAACAGTGAGAAACACTGGGGTAGGACAGTGGGAAATACTGGGGTAAACAGTGAGAAACACTGGGGTAGGACAGTGGGAAATACTGGGGTAAACAGTGAGAAACACTGGGGTAGGACAGTGGGAAATACTGGGGTAAACAGTGAGAAACACTGGGGTAGGACAGTGGGAAATACTGGGGTAAACAGTGAGAAACACTGGGGTAGGACAGTGAGAAATACTGGGGTAGGACAGTGGGAAATACTGGGGTAGGACAGTGAGAAATACTGGGGTAGGACAGTGAGAAATACTGGGGTAGGACAATGAGAAAGCGAAAGTTTACTTCGGAACTTCACGCATTTGGGTTGTGAAGTTCCGAAGCTTGTAAAGTGTATAACCAGCCCGTCCTCCAAACAAAGACCCAAAGACCATTCCATGCACCCGCCAAACCCCAGCTGTTTATGAATGAAAAACGGTTTACACACGACTCACAACTGATGACGTTCGAACACTTCCGGAACAAGTGCTTCACTGACGAATTTTGTTCGAACCACAACGCTGTAAATGCTTCACCTACGTACTACAAATACAAATAATCGCCTATGCCTATATATGCACAATATGCTAATATATTATAATATTAATATATTTGAGAAAATTCCTGTTTTGAACAAACAGCATGTTAAAATTTATGAATACGTCTGTGGGGTCGACCGCTGGATGGAATGAACTTGAGTCGAGGACGGATTGGTTTAATACTTAATCACCATGTTCGAGAAAAAGATGTGCAGGTTTCGTTAAATGACGCATATATACTTCATGAACCCCCCGGCCTAGGTCATTAAGGAGGATCTTAACGAACTGATGAGATTTGGAAATGCAAAAAAATACCGTTTTTAACTCTAATAAATAAAGTTGATCGCTTTGCCTCATTTATCAAGAGGATTCTCGCAGCCAAATATTAAAAAAAAACAAAATGGCAGCTGCCATTCATCAACAATTTACGCTAATTACAAAGGCGTCCCCTAATTCCCCTGTTCGACTAATTAATTTAGTCATTAAAAAGTCCCAAATGGGCTAATTCCAAAACGTCGCTAGATAGACGTGCTATCGTGTAACGCTGTCTCCACCGGACGAAGGTTTTCTCACTCTCCTACCTCAATGTTTCTCACTCTGCTACCTCAATGTTTCTCACTCTGCTACCTCAATGTTTCTCACTCTGCTACCTCAATGTTTCTCACTTTCCTACCTCAATGTTTCTCACTCTCCTACCTCAGTGTTTCTCACTCTTCTACCTCAATGTTTCTCACTCTCCTACCTCAATGTTTCTCACTCTTCTACCTCAATGTTTCTCACTCTTCTACCTCAATGTTTCTACCTCTCCTACTCGAGTCTTTCTCACTCTGCTACCTCAATGTTTCTCACTCTCCTACTCCAGTCTTTCTCACTCTCCTACCTCAATGTTTCTCACTCTCCTACCCCAGTCTTTCTCACTGTAAATTTCAGTGAGAATTTCTTTGTTGTCATCCATGAAATTTCCATCTTCGCGCCAGGGCACAATACTAGGTGTAGTTTTTGTTCCAGATTGTGCATTGGAGGGAAAAAAAAGCATTTTGAATTCCTCTCAATTTCACTGATGTCCTTTTTTGTTCTCTTTTTCCCCTCTCTTGGATTTTATACGATGTTTTGTGTAATTCTAGTTGAATTCTTGTCTAATTTCTCCTACGGTGCCTTCCTTGTCGTTCTTGAGGCGTTCATTCTGGGTGTTCTTGATCGGGGCGTTCGTGCTGTTCTTCGATTTGTTTTCTTCGGCTACAGAGGGAACGCCGTTTACGTTCGACCACAACCACCACCACAACCACCACAATAACAACCCCCTCACCGGGAATTTAACGGGGATGGACAAAAGTCAAGACCAACTTGACGCACAATTCCATTAAAACTGAGTTCAAAGCTGCCACCAGCGTGGTCCACGTTCGAAGCGCTGACAGCGACTAGCTGACGCGCTATGACTGCTTTCCGGCTGACTGGCTGACTAAATGGACAGTCAGCTGACACTGGCAGGAACGGCCCATATATTTGGGGTCCACTGAAATAAACACACACAAAATAACACTGAAAAAAAATTGATTGTTTACACACCTAAGAATCAATGTTATCAGGGGGGGGGGCGCTGCCCCGTCCCCCTTAGGCAGGGAATGTCAGCAGGGTGGTGTCAGGAGGGGCGGGGTGTCTGAAAGGTGTCAGGATGGGGTGTCAGGAGGGGCGGGGTGTCTGAAAGGTGTCAGGATGGGGTGTCAGGAGGGGCGGGGGTGTCTGAAAGGTGTCAGGATGGGGTGTCAGGAGGGGCGGGGGTGTCTGAAAGGTGTCTGGATGGGGTGTCAGGAGGGGCGGGGTGTCTGAAAGGTGTCAGGATGGGGTGTCAGGAGGGGCGGGGGTGTCTGAAAGGTGTCAGGATGGGGTGTCAGGAGGGGCGGGGGTGTCTGAAAGGTGTCAGGATGGGGTGTCAGGATGGAGTGTCAGGAGAGGCGGGGTGTCAGGACGTACCATCACCTTCAAGCACGTCCCGTCCACCATCCAACATGCCGAACAGTAATTCAGGGTGAGAGAGTGAAGGTTGGTCCGTGGGCGTCTGACACGTTGATCTGGGTGTCTGACACGTTGGTCTGGGCGTCTGACACGCTGGTCTGGGCGTCTGACACGTTGGTCTGGGCGTCTGACACGCTGGTCTGGGCGTCTGACACGTTGGTCTGGGCGTCTGACACGCTGGTCTGGGCGTCTGACACGCTGGTCTGGGCGTCTGACACGTTGATCTGGGTGTCTGACACGCTGGTCTGGGCGTCTGACACGTTGGTCTGGGCGTCTGACACGCTGGTCTGGGCGTCTGACACGTTGGTCTGGGCGTCTGACACGCTGGTCTGGGTGTCTGACACGTTGGTCTGGGTGTCTGACACGTTGGTCTGGGTGTCTGACACGTTGGTCTGGGCGTCTGACACGTTGGTCTGGGCGTCTGACACGTTGGTCTGGGCGTCTGACACGTTGGTCTGGGTGTCTGACACGCTGGTCTGGGCGTCTGACACGTTGGTCTGAGTGGTGTGACTGGTTGTGGGAGCATTAGTGGGCGTGACTGTGGGCGTAGCCGACTGTGGGCGTGATTGACTGTGGGCGTAGCCGACTGTGGGCGTGATTGACTGTGGGCGTAGCCGACTGTGGGCGTGATTGACTGTGGGCGTGACTGACTGTAGTGGCTGGGGGGATGCAGAGTGCCAACTCTCCACACTACTCCCTGTGCCAGTGTCAACAGATGATCACTACTTGCAATTCCTCTGAACCCCTCCCCCCCTTCCGCGCCCCCCTCACCCCCAGCCCAGGGGGCACCCCATCAACTACCCCATCATCTCTAACATGCTAAATACCAACCCATCGCCATCAACAGGATGATGGGCCTATCATCACCCAATACCATCAACCACACAGCCATTAAACAACAGTAGCTTATAACTTATAAGTTATAATAGTTATAACTTGTAACTATATCCCCTCACCCCCTTATCAACCACCAAGTGCCATCATGGGTAAATACTGGTAAATACATGGGTAAATACTGGTAAAGACATGGGTAAATACTGGTTCGGTAACAAGGATGTTGATTTGTGGAACCAATTACCACGTAACTTGGTGGAGGTGTACAGTGCCATCCGCCCAGGCGACTCCTTCACGTAGTATCGCCACAACAACAGAAGAGTGCCAGGGGGGTGCCAAGCAGAATGCCACACACCATCTTTCCCCTCCTCCCCCCCCCAGCTCCCCCAGAGCGGCACGAGCGCGTATAAAGTTACTTAGCTACCAGACCCTACCACCCCCCCCCTACACACACACCCTCCCCCCTACTACCACTACTACCACCACACACATACACACACACACACACACACACACACACACACACACACACACACACACACACACACACACACACACACACACACCACACACCACCACCACCACCACCACCACCACCACAACAACAACTCACCACCACCACCACAACAACTCACCACCACCACCACCACAACAACTCGCCACCACCACCACCACAACAACTCGCCACCACCACAACAACTCGCCACCACCACCACAACTCGCCACCACCACCACCACAACTCGCCACCACCACCACAACAACTCACCACCACCACCACCACCACAACAACTCACCACCACAACAACTCGCCACCACCACCACCACCACAACAACTCACCACCACAACAACTCGCCACCACCACCACAACTCGCCACCACCACCACAACAACTCACCACCACCACCACAACAACTCGCCACCACCACCACAACTCGCCACCACCATCACAACAACTCACCACCACCCCCCACCACTACCCCCCCTCCCTCTACAAAACACAAACCCCCCACACCTCATTATACATTAACATTATAACAACCTCACACACACACACGAGGGGGTTGTGACAATGTTAACAACCCCCCATTAAGCGCCATCAAATACCCCTAGAGTGGAAAAACATTGATAAAGGGATTACTTGGGACTTAATACTAATAGGCAAGAGGTGTATACAGGGCTCCATTACCTAGGTTTCACCTACGTAGGTGCTACGTAGCCTAGGTGGCCTAGGTGGTATATTGGTTCCCCCCCAACCACCTCCAGGGGCACAATCATCGAACTAACCTAGTCTTGCCCAACCTGTTTCGTCAATCTTTCAATCGCAACTAACCTCAATCGAGCGGCAAGAGACACACATATATATATATATATATATATATATATATATATATATATATATATATATATATAATATATATATATATATATGGCGTGGCCGATGTTGCCATATAATCAACGCCGCCTAGCAATTACTTTTGCGATGATTTCGGGGCTCAACCTCCCCGCGGCCCGGTCCCCAACCAGGCCTAGTTAGCTCCTGCTTCTACCCATAAACACTCCCAGAATTTGTTCCCAGATAATTTGTTCAAGCGGAACAAACTCCTTCAGTTCAATTGGCCTTGTTTACATAATTCTTAAGTGTTGGCGGCACCGTGTTTCAGTTCCTAGGCTCCGGCCGTTCAAGGTATCGACTCCCGACACTGTGTCGAAGCATCTAGCGTCATTAGTACAGTTCAACCAGGTTATATGTATAGGAGAATCCGGTTTCTTTGACTCCGGTTTCAATACGGTAGTGGGTTGGCCGGGTTTTGGCATATGCCGCTGATGGTATCGTGTTAATGTGTGCCTCTGGGATTAAACCTTGCTCAAGTCAAGTCAAGCTTAGGCTCGATGGTTCGTTTTAAGCATATACCAATTACATATTGGCCTCGTTTGGGTCAACAGGTCCTTCTACGGTCACCTTTCGTACGTTCGAATATAACGGTGGGAAGTTCATTGTAAACTAAGTCAATTATAATTGAGTGTCCTTTTAAAGAATCAAACTGGTATGTATTTGTATAGAAACACACACACTTATACACTCATGAATCAACTTTTCACAATTTTCACTCTCAATTTCCGCTACTGTTATTACAGGTGATAATATTGTTCCTTCTGTTGACATCAGTACTATTGGTACTGTTACCTGCTACCGTTGTCATCAATTCTACTGTTAACTGCTACCGTTAACTGCTACTGTTACTCTTATGCCCTAATACTACTACCACCACTGTTGTTTTGACTAGGCTTTCTACTGTTCCTTGTGTGTGTGTGTGTGTGTGTGTGTGTGTGTGTGTGTGTGTGTGTGTGTGTGTGTGTGTGTGTGTGTGTGTGTGTGTGTGTGTTTTGCTGTGTGGGGGTGGGTGTGTGTGTGGGGGTGGGTGTGTGTGTGTGTGGGTGTGTGGGGTGTGTGGGGTGTGTGTGTGGGGGGTGGGCGTGTGTGGGGGGTGTGGGTGTGTGAGGGGGGGGTTGTGGGTGTGTGAGGGGGTGGTTGTGGGTGTGTGAGGGGGTGGTTGTGGGTGTGTGAGGGGGGGGTGTGTGTGTGTGGGGGGGGGGTGATGGGCAGCTGCAGGAAAGAGGAGACGGAGCCGCGCGTGCAACAGGAGGCTAAAAACCTTGCCATGTGTCGGTGGCGTGTGTTGAGGAAATGTCTGTGGCCGCCATATTCCCCTCCCCCTCTCCAACACTCCCTTCTTCCTCCTCCTCCTCCTCTCCCCTCTCTCCCTCTCTTCCAGCCTTACTCCAAGACCTTCCCTTCCCTTCCTTACCCATACCCTCCCTCTCTCACAGACGACAATACGCAACAGGACTCTGACGAAACGAGGAACAACTGGAGGATCTCTTGAAGACAATACAGCACAACTGTACTGCAAAATACAGCAAAAATACAACACAATACATTGCGTACACTACAGTAAGGCCCACTGTAATACAGTGGATCATTAACTTCGTGTGGTAGGTTGGATTGGTGTCCATGGTCGTGTCCCACCTGTTGACCCAGCTGGTTGGGTCCCAGCTGTTGACCCAGCTGGCAGCGTCCCACCTGTTGACCCAGCTGGCTGCGTCCCACCTGTTGACCCAGCTGGCTAAGTCCCACCTGTTGACCCAGCTGGCTCCTTCCCACCTGTTGACTCAACTGGCTGCGTCCTACCTGTTGACTCAACTGGCTGCGTCCTACCTGTTGACTCAGCTGGCTCCTTCCCACCTGTTGACTCAACTGGCTGCGTCCCACCTGTTGACCCAGCTGGCTCCTTCCCACCTGTTGACTCAACTGGCTGCGTCCCACCTGTTGACCCAGCTGGCTGCGTCCCACCTGTTGACCCAGCTGGCTCCTTCCCACCTGTTGACCCAGCTGGCTGCGTCCCACCTGTTGACCAGCTGGCTCCGTCCCACCTGTTGACCCAGCTGGTCACTTTTTCCTCCCTAACACCTCCCTTCCCTCCCTTACCTCATTCTCTCCCTCAGCACCCTCCCTCACCTCCCCTTACCCATGGGTAAACCCCCCCCCCATTCTCCCACCTTCTTTGTACCCTGTTGCCCATTCCTTCTCTCCCTCAACCCGTTCTCTCCCCCCCCCTCTCCCCTTTCCCCTCCCTCATACCTCCTGCAAGGCGTCGCCCCCCCCCATCAAGCTCCCCCACGATTCCCCTACCCCCCACTACAGAGAGCACTGCCTCAACCCCTCCTCTCTCTCTCTCTCTCTCTCTCTCTCTCTCTCTCTCTCTCTCTCTCTCTAGCCTTTAACGTGAGATCTTTCTCCATTATTTTTAAGATGCATAACGGATGGGGTTTCTGTAATGGGTACAGCTATTCACTCTGTAATGGGCATAACTCTTCACTCTGTAATGGGCATAACTATTCCCACTGAAATGGGCATAACTATTCACTCTCCAATGGGCATAACTATTCACTCTGTAATGGGTATCACTATACAATCTACAAACGAGGAAAAACAATTATATGATAACTCAATTATATGATAACTCAATATTTTAAATTAATCATTACACTGTCCCCCCCCCTATTTTTATCACCCTATTTTGTATTAATAACTAAGTTACACTGAGACGTCCGCGCCGTTATTATTTTACACGCGCGACGGATTCTAAAGTTCATCTGTAAACTTTATTATGCTTTATTAAACTTAGAAAGATAGATAGTTAGGCTGGTCTAATTACCAACTCCGCGGTAGTTAGTACATAGTTTATTGTTTTGTTCTGAAGACCGTTCACAAGTGATAAGCTTCTTTGTTCAGAGTGGTGGCTATGTTGAACGGCTGAGAAAAAAGTCCACTACGGGCTCACCATAGCCCGTGCTACTTCGAACTTTTTGTTCCAAGTAGCAAATCTTAAACAACAACAACAACATGCAGTGGTGCAGGTAGTTAGAGTTACTACTGAACAAGACAGGAACGAGAGTGGCACCCGGGGGGAAGTTAAAATCCTCCCCCCCCCCCCCGAGTGCCAGTTGTTTTCTCCACCGAGACAAAGGGACCTCACAACTAGGCGGTACCCAGTTGCCCTCTCACCCCCCCCTACCCTTCCCCCTCCCTCCCCCCTTTCAAAATAGTGTTAGGGAGCCATGATAATACTGTATTAATTAAGGATATCATATTTTCTGATAACGAAAAACTCTTAGGGCATCCCCATCAATATTTCCCCCTTGACCAGAATTGAATCCCTGAGAATCGGATAGTGGGGGGGGGGGGGCTGTCAATAATTAATAATATTTCCTAAATCATTTAGCTTAGGGCTACCCCGACCAGCCTATGTCCGTCCCGTACCTTAGACCGTTTCCCCTGCAAATTTGGGTAAGGCTAGCCC